AGTCAAGAGATCAGACGATGTATTGCATTGGCTGCACAGGAATTTTTTAAAGTATTAAAGAGCAAAGATGTCAGTTTGAGGACTAAGGTGCGCCTGACCCAAGCCATGGTATTTTCAATAACCTCATGGATGCGAAACCTGGACAGTGAATAAGGAAGATCACAGAAGAACTGATGCCTTTGAGTTGTGGTGTTGGAGAAGAATACTGAAAGTGCCATAGACTGCCAAAAGAACCAATAGCTCTGTTTTGGAAGAAGTGCAACCAGAGTGCTCCTTGGAGGCCAAGATGGCTAGGCTTTGTCTCTCCTACTTCGGACACATTGTCCAGAGAGAACAGTTGCTGGAGAAGGATGTCATGCTGGGTAAGGTAGAGGGTCAGAGAAAAAGAGGAAGACCCCCAACGAGATGGATCAGCCAGGTGGCATCATTGATGGTGTCAAGTATGGCGGCGGTAGTGAGGTTGGCCCAGGATCGGACATTGTTTCCTTCTGCTGTGCATAGGGTTGCTATGAGTTGGTTCCGACTCAATGGCACCTGACAACAACAACACAAGTGGGTGATTTTATAGAACAGAAATTTATTTTCTCACAGTTCTGGAAGGCAGAAGTCTGAATTGAGGGCACCAATGAGAGGGGAAGGTTTTCTCTCAGTGAGCTCTGGGGGAAGATATTTGTCTCAGCCTCTGTAACTCCTGCCTTCCTCAGCCCCTTGATCTCCACATGGCATCTATCTCTCCCCCATTTGAGCTCTCTTCCCTCTCCTTACACCACTCATGAATATTAGGTTTATGAGACTCTACACAGATGTTGTCTCATTAGTATAACAAAGAAACCCTATTCTCAGAAGGGATTATATCCACAGGTACAGGGGTTAGGAATCCAACACATACTTGGGAGTGGCAGGGAAGAGGGACACATTTAATCAGTGCTACATTTTCAGAAAAGGGTAAAAATAAGACAATATATATTTGATTGTCTATCCAGAAGTAAAGAGGCTACCCAAAGGTGGAAGTGACTCTTAGTACTTGCTCAGCAAGTATTCCCAACCTCAACTGAAGTTAGGTTTTCAGCTCATGTGACTTGTTCTGGCCAATGAATCCTGAACAAAGGTGGTACTTGTAGGAAGAGATGGTTGAGAGCCATAAGCTCTCTCTCTCTCCCTTGTTGCAGAGACCTTGGAAGCAGTTGGCCCTGAATGATATAGCTTCAAGGTGGAACGGTGGTGCCCAACTTGCATAGGATTTTGCATAAATGAAAAAGTAAATTGTTATTGTGCTAAATTATAAAGTTTCTAGGGTTGTTGCAGTAGCTAGGGTTAATTGTCCTAACACAGAAATTAGTGCTGCAAGAGGAAAACTGCCGTTAACAAGGTGTCAAGTCAAAGAACTCTTTGTCTAGCCAAAATTTTCCATGAAGATTTTCTCCTATGTTTTTCCTAAAAATTTTATAGTTTGATGATTCACATTTAAGCCCATAATTTACTTTGAGTTAACTTTTTGTATAAGATGTGAAACCTAGCTGGATGTTCAATTTTTGGTACCATTTGTTGAAATTGCTTTTTTTGTACCTCTGTCAAAAATCAGTTGGTTCATCAAAACTAAAAACATTTCCATTTCAAGACACCATCAAGAAGTGAAAAGGCAACTCAAATATATTCACAAATCAAATATCTGATAAGGGTCTAGTACCCAAATGTATAAAGAATTCTTATAATTCAATTAAAAAAAGACAACACAATGAACGTGGGTATAGGAGCTGAAAAAGCATTTCTCCAAGGATGATATACAAATGGTACATAAGCACATGAAAAGATACACATCACTAGTTATCAGGGAAATGCAAATTAAAAGCAATGCATGCTAAATATAAAATTTTTTTTTTTTTGCTTGACAGAAAATTGCACAGAAGTATTACAAATAAGAGTTGGGATCATCAGAAATGCTGGAGAAGATAATGCCACACTCAATGGGAAACCGGACCAGTTATTTTTCAGGAGTTTCCCAAGGCAAAGGTTTTCAGATTCTTTTTTTTTTAAAGTTTATCATTCACTTTAATTGTCCTTAAGACAGTAGTTTCCATGTTATAGTGAAAATTCAAGATAAATAATTTTGAAAAGATGATCAGTTCCAAAACCACTGGAAATATATTTTCACTTGAAATTTGTTATTTAAATAGTCTATCTGAGATTTTTTTAAATGCCAAAATAGAAGTCTTATTAGAACATGGTGAGATTCTTCTCAAGCTTCAGAACAATTTCCTTTAAGGCAGGATCCTCTGCCCAATTGACTTTACTCCCCAAGATGAGATTCTGTAATTAACAAGACAAAGAATTAAGTTATAAGTACTTTAAATAAAAAAATAACAAGATTTAAAAAATCCCTTTCTCTTGAGTTTCAGTTTATGGTGATGGAAAACTCACATGGATTAAGGGTTGGGCACAGGCAGTTATTCTAAGTGTTGTCAATAGTTGACAAAGTTAAATTGGCAAAAGTTGTGTGACAGATATATTTACAATAATGACACCAACAACAACAAAATAGAGTAGTTGCTGAGGTTGCTTATGTTCAACCAAACACCTCATGGGATTTGATTTGGCTTCTTAGTCTGGAGGTACAATGTCATGGTTTCATGGGACATCCCAATAACATGTTTAGTGTTAAGTAGTGCTTGGGGGTCTTAAAAATTGGCAAGCTACACCCTCAAGACACAACAATTGATTTCTCTGTTCACCTGGAGCAACTAAGGAGAGTCAGGAATAGAAGAAAACAGATTACATGAGTAATGCTTCCATTAACAACGAACGATATGGTGTCTGGCTACCATTACTGAACATTTTGATCAAAGATTCTATAGAAGAATCCTGATCAAAAGGGGAGAAAATGCAAAACAGAATTTAAAATTCTCATAGACTCCAGACTTGCTGGAGCCATGGAGGCTGGGTGAACCTATGGAACTATTGTCCTGAAGCAGTGTTTAAACTTTAACCAAATATATCTCCTAAAGTTGTGTTAAAACAAACAATAGTTTAGCTTGACTAGTATAGAATGCCTGCCTTGAACACTGACCTCTTTTAAGATCTATCCTTAAGGGATCAAACTGACAACAGCCACATAAAAGATTAGATAGGAAGGAACCTCAAAGGGCAGTGAGTTTATATTAATGCAGGAGGCCTAAGTCAAAAAGGAGGGTGCGAATCATTGCACAACGAGGAGCCCATAATCAATGCCAATGAACTGAATTGTACATAGAAATTATTGAGAGGGTAGATGTTTTTCTGTGTATATTCTTAACAATAACAGGAAATAATTATTTTAAAAGTTTAACAGGATTTAAGAAAACCTTTCACTGATCTCACCAGGTATTTGCTGCACATTTATAAGATGTGTGGCTCTGTGGTCTTGAGTACAATTCTTAAGCCTTTCTTTCTCTTTTTAGTAACGTTTTGGTCTTGACCCTCATAAATGCTAGGTCAATATTTAAATGTTTAAAATAAATTTTAATTTGCAATGCTGTTCTAAATTAGAAGGAAAAACTGCAGCTATAGCTCATAATTCATTTTACACTTATGTTGTAGAAAACAATAATTACAGTTTTAAGTAAAACTCCCTATTTTAAATGGACGTAAGAGCAGTTTAGTCCTCAGGCCTTAAAAAAAATTCAAGACCCTGAAAAAATGGTAAAGAATATTTTTGTGATAGATAATGAATTATTGGGAGTCACATTTAATTAAAATTATGGTCATGATTATTTGAAAAATTATGACAACAATACTGAGCTATTAATTGAATATGGTTAAGACAGATTTTGGAATATAAGGATTAAGTTATTAGGTGTAAAAATATTTTAAAACATTGGACTATATAAAGAACATATCTTCTATCTATAAGTAACCACAGGGCTACTATATAGGAATCCAATCAAATTTACTAACGCAGGTGGAAGCATTTGAATATAACTGAACTACTAAGGGTTGATCTTAAGAACAAAGAGAGTTCCTAAAGTTGGTTAAAACCAAATTCTACTTAAGAAGACAATGAGTTTTTTATATTAAAATTAATACTATCTTATACAATATGAATAAAAATGCAGAATAGAAATATTAAAGCGACTTGAAGGAACATGTGCCACAGAAAATCACAAGATCCAGGAAAAAGTGCCTATGGTAAGATATGGAACTTCATATTTTATAAGTTAACATTTGCTTTAAACACAGTTGTTGTTGTGAAGTGCTGTCCAGTCAGTTCCAACCCACAGCGACCCTGTATAGGGTTTTCGAGGAGCAGCTGGTGTGTAGACAGTGTTTAACTGTGTATCTTACATAATTAAAAAGGGCCAGGGGGGCAAAATTATGAAAACTTCTTAGACACTACCAAACACATTAAAGGAATGATTTGGTGGACCTGGGAGCTCAAGACCAGGGGACACCATGGTCAACTGATATAACATACAGTCCACAAAGACAATGTCTTACATTCTACTTTGGTGAGTAGCCACAAGGATTTTAAAAGCTCATGAGCATCCACCTAAGGTGCAACTATTGGTCTCTGTCTGCAGGAAAGACAATGCTTGAAAGCAATTAGTTCAATATACATGAACATCAGTTTCTACAACCCTGAGACTTACAGAGTCAGCCCTGGACTATCCCTAACTAAGAGAAGCAGCTGAACAGACTCATGGAGGGGAGGAGGAGGGGAAGAGAGAGGTGATTTGTATCAGTTGGCCAGGCATGGTGCAGCCATCTTGAACTCCTGAGTTTTGACGGCAAGAAAGCAATAGGTGGCTCAGAGGCATACTGCTTAGAGAAAAGTGCAAATTTTTTCTTATACCCACATTACCCTGGTGACCAGAGGTGTGGCCAGTCCACACCCATGTACACTCCCAGAGAAGCTCCTCTTCTCTAGGTGACTGGAGCTGCATCAAAGGGAGTGGGGAGTTTGTAGTGTCAAATGCAAGACCTGGAATCAGGTGTGGTCTGCTCCAGAATACAGAACTGGTTCTGGTCCGTCCTGGACTAGCAGGACTTTTGCCCTTGGCTGCCCTCTGGGATGGAAACACCTTGATCCCCCAGATGCTTTGGGGTCTGCACGAACTGTTTCTGGATTAGGTGCCCAAAACAGATAACTCCTAGCCTTACAGGAACTCCATCTAGGGTTGGGAATGTTACCGTTCCATCCCTTGCCCACCCATGATGTGACTGTCATACATGGGAATACCACCCATAATGCAATCCAGATATAAAAGTATCCACAGCAAAACAAACCTTCAATACTTAAAGTAGGGAACCAGAGACATCAACTTATAATGAAGACAACTACAATGGATTAAATTTCGGAAGTAGCCCAAATCTCATTATCCTAGCTCAGGTGAAAACTGTCCACCATGAAGGACCCTGCTTCCAGAATCACAGCAACACCCAAACTACCACAGTTCGACAAGCTGACAGGTGAACGGTGAACAAAAGTCCTAGATATATGTAAACAGATCAATATTCAGCATGGAATTGTTTTATCAAGGTCAAAGAATAAGGATGCTCATAACTAAACATAAATCAACACTATAATAGTACTGACCATTTTTTAAAAGTTCTTTACTACCCTTCCCAATTTTGGTAATTAAATGTTACCTGAAACACATGCTGAATAACTGTAGTAGTTTGTATCTCCTCCTGTAGATTTTTCCGTATGGCCTTTATTTTATCTGAATTTTCCATATTGTCCAAGTCATCCTTCTGTTTATTCTTTTCAGTCTGTATTTCTAAAAGTTTACTTTCAGAAGCTTGTTTTAATTCTGTTAAATTAAATAAAAATAAAACAATATACTACATATTACAACACTTAAAGCAAAAACTCTTAAAAGAACAAATCAAGGGCATTTCTGGTTATTTCATTTAAGAGAAAATTTTAATAAGCTGCATATTGAATCTTAAATCTAATTTATTTGAAAATCAGTACACTGGCAGAAAATACCAATGTTTTCATTTTATATGGATTTCTGAATTATGAATATGTCATGTTAAGTTTGTCTGTTAGTTGAATTTATATGTAAATTGGAACAGTTGGGGACAGTTTATATGTAACACCAGTAAGTCAAATGTTTGTTATAATAGTGTATCTTTGTATGCATAAAATATATTAAAGATAAACTTGCAGCTACACTAAAACATCTTTAACACAATAATACAGTAATAAGAATGTATTGATGCATGTGGCAAAGTATATCCATTTGTTATTGGGATCCATTGTATGTACCTCAAAATTTTAACAGGGCTTTACAGGGCTGACTTATAACTACAGGTCATAAGTAAATAGGGCCTAAGTCAGATGTAACTTGGAGACATGCTCTACTTAAAAACATCTTTGACCAGTTTATGAGATGATGCTGATGACATGTTCAAGGTATTTATGTATGACAATAGGCTAATAGCACAATACCAATGATGGCATCACATGGCAGAGAGGTTACTCGGGGTTGCCAAAGAATAGGCAGCAAATATAAAATATAATTACAAAAATGACACATGCTGTTGTTGTTTAGTGCTGTTGAGTCAGTTCCAACCCATAGCGACCCTCTATAGGGTTTCCAATTAACAGGTGGTGAGCTTGAAATTTCTCACTGGCTGAAAAATCTGGCTTTACTAATCTCCATAGTAAACGTGTATGACAAAAAAAAACAAGAAAGTGTTCTACATACGCAATCTCTTCTTTCTAATATTAAGCAGTGTTTCCTCTAAGTCCCAAGATTCCTATGAATAAAAAATACATACTATTAATAAACCATGTTACTTAAAAATAAATCTATAATATTTAAATCATTCTATTTTATCTATTAGCTCATGTTTTCTAAACTGCTGATTATCTATTCCTCAATTCCACATAACAAAAGGGAGAGGACCACAGCTTGCACTTCATGTAGATAATTAGCAACAGTAGTCAGAAATAAGAGTCATGGAAAAAAGAGAAACTTTAGCACAGTATATTCACACTATAGCAATCTCTTTGGTCAATCCTATTTAATTATATACCATATACTCAGTCACTGCCACAGAATGGATTCAGACTCAGAGCAACCTTGCAGAAGACTTCTGAGGTTGTGCATCTTTACAGGGGCAGAAGGCCTAATCGTTCTCCCATGCAGCACTTGGTGGGTTTGAACTGCCGACTTTGTGGTTTGCAGTTCAGTACTTATTCTACAACAGCCCACCAGGGCTCCATATATATAAATCAGTCACCAGCATGAAGTTGTTAATGAAATCATGAGTGCTAACGCATCCTACTGTTTGTATTTACCTGCTGTGATGTCATTATTAATTTATTTAGCTTTAATACATGTTTCATGTTATCAAGGAGCAAACTGAAAAACAAACAAAAATATGATTAATTAGCTTAACTTGACTTTTACATTACTGAGGGAGTCAATTGGCATATATTTATTTTCATTAAATATACTGTACACAATAGAAGGCCTTCATTTAATAAGAAAAATCTGGAAAAGTCTTAAACTAAATTTCTGTCTTTGCAGTACAATGAATACCTATTTACCTTTGGCCTTGAATTTATAATTCTGCAAGAATGATTGGCTGGAACCCCAGCTGCCTTGTGCAGGGATTGGTCTGTTTATTATACAAAGACAGTGTGATAGTTAAGGTTTTGTGTCAACTTGTGTGGCACCTTGAATTCACTTGATACAGCTTTTCTATCCAAAGTCTTAATTCCCAAGTGATTGGATGGGACCATGTAAATAAGGTATACAGGACTCTAAGGTTGGGATTGCTTAGCTTCGCAGTTCAGTTGGGTTTAAAAGGAGCCATCTCTGAAGGAGACACAGAAGATCCCAGGACCATCATGAAGGAAGAGCATGAGTAGAGCATAAGAAAGCAAGAAGTGACCCCCAGAGGTGACTGACAGCAAACCCCCCCTCTAAGACTGAAACTCAAAGGGAACACATAAGCAGGCATGTAAGCTTGCTGATGACCACATTGGTCTACTGGTGAGTGGAAGAGGGGGAAAGGCAACAATGAATTCAATCACAGTCCACTGACTCCTGTTGATCTGGAAATGAGAAAGAGAAGAGGAAGGGCTGGTTGGTCCAAAGTGTGGTGACACCTGGGGACACTTGAGCCCATGGACAAGGACATAGCCACAGAGGGCTAGAGCTGAGAGTGAAGCATTTATGAAGTGAGGGGAGATGCACAAGAACACCCAAACTTGCAGATAGTACCCATTTGACTTAGCCTCTATGGCTTGATAATCAGAACTCGACTGTTGTTAAGTGCCATCGAGTTGGTTCCGACCCATAATGACCCTGTATAGGGTTTCTGAGGAGCAACTGGTGAGCTTGAACCACTGACCTTGCAGTTCAAACGGCTTTGCAGTCAGACACATTAACCCACAGCGCCACACCAGGACTCCTAGAACTTGACTAGAGGAAGATAAAAATAAACAATTTTTGATAAAGGAAACAAGGGTAAATTGCTATAATTTGATGAACCTGACCTATACTCATGGAGGTAGTAACTCTAAATACCAACAGAGAGGGAAGGAGTCTTCACATCAAGTATCAATGCTACCCCCTCTGGACACAGGGAAGATAGGAACGGGCAACTTAGACATTGGCTACCTAAAACGAGGGGGTGGTAAAGGCATGAAGTGACTGGCTTACAAGGTTTAAAGAGGGAGTTTAGTTTCAGAGTGTGTGGAAGAAGAAAGAGTCCCCACTGAATAGTTTTCATCTTGTCTAGATGGGTCTGGTAAAAAGAGATGGGGATAAGATTCTTATGATTCAATAGTAACTGTTATCATGACTAATTGCGACTGTCACAATTGTAAAGGTACAAATTTTATATAGAAAATGGGGTAGTTAATCTTACAGTCCAGAAACAGAGGACCCTAGGCCCATCAAGGAGAAGAGTACAAGTGGAATGTGAGACCTCAGCCAGAGAAGCAACGACGGCAGAGACGGAGGCAGAGATGGGGACATGGAGATGGGCAGCAGCTGAGGACTATAGATTCATGGGAAGAGAGGGACTGAGAGCTGGTGGCCCAGGAGACACACTTGAAGAATGTGCCCTTTGGAGGTGTAAATTATTATAGATGCCTGAGTGTTTGAAAAAAAAAAAAAAAAATAGCGCTAAAATGAATAGAGAGAAATACTGTTAACTCATGGTACTTAGAGGGGTTTGAAATAAGGTGTATCATTTGTTGAATGTAAAACTGATGATCTGCCCTGTAAACTTTCATTCAATTCACAATAAAAACATGAAAAAAAAAAAGGTGATGGAAAGAGGCAATGGCAGAGGCAGAGGAGGTGGCCAGGAGAGACAGAGAGCAGCTTCGCTTTAGGACTAAGGACTAAGTAAAGCTGAGTACCCAACACGGGTGACTAACTTGTAGAATGTGCCCTTTGGGCATTCACATACTGGATAAATGAACTTTGTAACACTTGTCTAAGCAGGGCAAAGGCCAAGGGACCACATGGCTGATAGGCCAAAGACAAGAGTGAGGCATACCTGCATTATGGCAGACAAGAGGCATTCCTGTCTGGAGAACTGTTGCGTCTGAGTTGGTTTTGATCTGTACCCTGTTCACTTCCCTAATAAACCCCATTACCATGAGTATTGTTAAGTTCTGTGTGACCATTGCAATGGATCATCGAACCCAGATATGAAGCAGAGAATGCTGTGGGAGGGATGGTTGGTGTCAGAATAGGGCAAAAAGGTTGTAAGATGGAAGCATGTCTGATCTCAGCTTCATAGAAATGGACTGGAGATGATTTTGAGTTTAATCTTTTTCCTTTGTGAAGTCAGGCAGGGTCCCCAAGTGGTTTAAGCATATTGACTGGGCCAGGATTCTCAGTTGTTTTGTTGTTGTTATTAAGTGCTGTTGAGTCAGTTTCAACTCACAATGACCCTGAGTAGGGTTTCCAAGGAGCAGCTGGCGAGCTTGAACCACCGATCTTGCAGTTCAAACCAACTTTGTAGTCTAAGTCATTAACCCACAGTGGCAAACCAAGAACTCTTCTCTGTGGTTTAGCAGCTGAGATGTAGTTTTCCTCTGATGAGATCTAATATAAATCATTATATTATAAATTCAGTGATGATGAAACTGAAAAATTCTACCAACTTCTTTAGTATGAAATTGATCAAACATGCATTCAAGATGTACTCAAAATTACTGGTGATTGGAATGCAATGGTTGGAAACAAACAGGAAGGAGCAATAGCTGGAAAATATGGCCTAAATGAGAGAAGTGATGTTGGAGATCAAGTGCTAGAATTTTGGAAGACTAATGACTTATGCTGAGCAAATAATCCAAGAAGCTGGGTTATATGAAGAAAAACGTGGTATCAGGATTGGAGGAAGACTTATTAACCTGCCATATGCAGATGATATAGCCTTGCTTGCTGGAAGTGAAGAGGACGTAGAATACTTACTGATGAAGATCAAAGACCACAGCTTTTGGTAAGCATTGTATTTCAATGCAAAGAAAACAAAAATCCTCACCACTGAACCAATAAACAACATTCTTATCAATGGAGAAAAGACTGAAGTTGTCAAAAGACTTCATTTTGCTCAGATCAACTATCAAACAATTATGGAAGCAGTGGTCAAGAAATCAAATGATGCACTGCATTACGCAAATCTGCTGCATAAGAGATTTTTAAAGTGTTGAAGAGCCAAGATGTCAGCTGGAGGACTAAGGTGTGCCTGACTCAAGCCATGGTATTTTTAATAACCTCATATACATGCAAAAGTTGGACAGTGAAGAAGGAAGACCGTAGAAGAATTGATGCATTTGAGTTATGGTGTTGGAGGAGAATACTGAAAGTACCGTGGACTGCCAAAAGAACAAACAGATCTGTGTTGGAAGAAGTACAGCCAGAGTGCTCCTTGGAGGCCAATATGGCCAGACTTCGACTCTCATACTTTCAACATATTGTCAGGAGGGACCAGTCACTAGAGAAGGATATCATGGATAGTAAGGTGGAGGATGAGAAAAAAAGAGGAAGACACTTAGCAAGATGGATTGGGGCAGTAGCAGCATCAATGGGCTCAAACATAGCAATGATTATGTGGTTGGCCCAGGACCGGGCTGCATTTCATTCTGTTGTCACAAGGAATTGGTACGGACTCAATGACAATGACTTATTCAGTGCAAATAATCTTTTTAAAACAACATAAAAGGGGACTGTACACATGGATCTCAGAATCCTGGTGTGGCACTGTAGGATAAACACTGGACTGCTATCTGCAAGGTTGGTAGTTCAAACCTACCAGCTACTCCTTGGAAACCTGATACAGGGTTACAATGAGTCGGAATTGACTCAACAGCATTTAACAACAAATTGTGAGCTGAAGGAGCTCTGATGGCCCTGTAGGATAAGTTTTGGACTACTAACTGCAAGGTCAGCAATCTACAACCCTCCAGATGAGCTGTATGCTCCCATAAAGATTTACAGACTCGGAAACCCTATATAGGTTTGCTATAGAAGGATGATATATATCAATCTGGGCTAAGATACCCTGAGATTTGGAAAGTGCCCAGAGCCATCCTGGTGATGAGAGAGGGCATCATATTACAAATTTTCTAGTCCTCTGGGAGACAAGAACACAGATAAGGCCCCTGAGGTCAGACATTTTGGAAGAGGTTATGGAGGACTATGTCAGAGTGTCTTATAGCAAACTATTTATTTATTCTGTTGGTTTTTTTGAGTGTGAAAGTTTACAGAGCAAATTAGGTTCCCACTGAAAAAACTTCTACACATATTTTTGTTCTGGTTGTTCCATTTCCATTTATCTAACTCCCTTGTCCCTCCGACCTTTTCATCTTTGCTTCAGGTTAAATGCTGACCCTTTGGACTCATACAGATGATTTTTTAAAGGAACACATACTCACGGGTGATAATGTTTAGATTATAAGCCAATCTGTTATTTAGCTAAAAGGGTGTGGTTTCAGCACAAAGTTTGAAGACTGTCTCAGGGCAATATTCTTGGAATATCTCAGGGGTTCCTTTAGTCTCTCCCAGTCCACTAATTCTAACCTTGCTTAGGAATTTTAGTTTTGTTCTTTTTCTTTCCACTCTATCTAGAACCATCTATTGTGCCCCTGATCAGAAGAGTCTGTAATCATAGCCATGCACCATCTAGTTCTGGTTTTAGGAAAGATGAGGCTGTGGCTTGTGTAGCTATTAGTCTTTGAACTATGTTATGTCAATAGACCAAGTTGTCCCATGAGGCTATGATATTAAGCCTTGAAATCCAGTAAACCAATCCTATGAGTTATTTGGTTATGTCTAGGAGGTATCATTGCTAATCAGCAGTTCAAAACTACAGCTGTTCTGCGGGAGAAAGATGA